GGCTTTGTGTTAAAATTGGTGGAGATGCAGAGCACACATCCACAGAACTGAGCAAACCCAGGCGGCAGCAGGAAGAGAATTAAGTCTTATGCACAGGCAAGTAATTTGCTCAGTGTATAGCTCTCTGTCCCCTGTCAGCACAGGACCCCAGTGTTCACCTCATACACTTTCATGCACACGTGATGGATACCGGCAGGGAAAGCACACATGCAAACAGCCCATGGCAAGCACAGCTGAGCAATTCCCACCCCCGAGCCAGGCTGCATCTGCTGGGATCTTTTCTTCTTGAGCAGCAGCCACGCACTCAAGTGATGTGCAAAGTGACTCTTGGTCACTCTGACCAAGACAAGGAAGCAGCAAGGCAGGTTTAGACAGACATTTCAATCAGCTTCCATCATTGAAATTGCACCACATCTTATTTCCATCTCCCACGTCTTCTGGGCTCCCCTATACGTGCCTGCTCTAGCCCAGCGAAGGAGGCAAGCAGATGCTTTGCTCAGATGAGCAGTCCCACCAAATCCATGGGACATCCCACTGAAAAACCATGGGACTTCTGCTGAAAGGTTTTGCTTGCTCAGTGTCAAGAGCCTTTGTGAGAGAGACAAGGCTGCTTCGACATCTGCTGGAAAGACCTAAGAGGAGGCACAGAATTACTCTCTTGTAGCCTCTCTCCTACTTATTCACAGGAAACATCTTGGTAAGTCACTTTAGCCTTGCCGACAGCAACCATGCTGGAACGTGTCTTTCCAGCTGAACAGCAGAGATGACAGCAGCAGGGTGATGCTAACCTGTGGAGGGATGACGTAGTCCGCAACATCCCACAGCCTCTCCCCCAGCTCTGAGGTGTTGGTGAAGGCCACCCCTTTCAGCTTGGTGATGACAGAGCTCTGGAGGGACGTGTCTGTGTCCTGATAGCCTTTCTTGACAACAAAAACCCACCTGCAAGGAACACAGCAGGCAGCAGCATTAGCAAGTGGGGACAAGGTAGCCAGAGAAGATTTACACCACGGTCAAATACCATTCAAGAGCAAATCAAAATACATCAATGACGCTACTCCAAATCTAGGATGAACTCTTTGACACAGGCTGCTCTTATCTACAGCATAGGAGGAAAAGTTAGGACCAAGCCTATACATGCAGAGAAAGGTGAAATAACTGGTCACAGGGTATAAAACTAAGCCTCGTGCCTCCCTGTCCTGTGCTCTGCTCAGCGACAGCCATGGAAAGAGGGCAGGGCAGGGCCCTCTGTTCTTCAAGATGAGAAATAAAACGAGCTTTTGCGAGTTGCAGAATAGAGCCTGGCTGGTTTCACAAATAAATAACTCTCATTTTACAGCCTGCCATTAGGCTGCCAGTCCAGCAATAGATCGTGACAGAGGAGATGGATTCCAGAAGATGAGCCAAATATTACAAACAGAAATCTGTTGGGAACGTTTTCAGCCAGATAAAGGATCTTTTGTAGACAAGTGCAACGGTAACAACATGATTGCACTCTGGCCTCTATGCTGGGCAGGGCTTCTCACTAACACACCTGGAAGAGCTGCCTCCTCTCTGAACTGTCTGGAGAAGGCTTCTCTCACTTCTTCCCACTAGACACAGCAAGAACTCCACAGCACAGGGGAAAGAGCTCTCCATGTTAAATGAAACACCTCAAGCTCACGCACAGTACTGCCAGAGTCACCTACCAGAACAACAAATCAGCCAAGACCCCTGAAAAGGCTTAAAGGGCAGGTTTCAGGGGCGGGCATTTGCAGACACAGCTCCTCCTTGTCCTGCACTGACCTGGCGTGCACTATTGCTCACAGAAAGCAAAAGTAATCATCTCTAGGGCTGAGCAGCGCTTGAACGCGCTGCCCTTCACCCACCTCTTGTTGACAAACCTGAATAACTTTTGTCACCCCTGGGAAGACTCCTGCTTTCCTGTTTTTCCCCCAAAACCACTGTTTTTCAAACAGACTCAAAGGCAGCCCCTTAAGGTCTAGTGAATCTGAGAGGAAACGGCAGCCGTGTCCAAGAAATTACTTGATTCAGAGAAGGCTGATGATCACAACTTCATGGCCACCCTCTGAATAGGTTTTAGGGCATCATCAGACAGACCAGACTAACACTAACCACCTCTGTGTCTAAGGCGTAAGCCTGGCCACAAAGGAGTTTCCGCAGATACCACCAGTGATGGTGCCAGAGGTCTGCCGAAGCCACTATACGCCTAGGAAAAAAACCAGCCTGTATGGCCCAGGCAGTCTCTGAAGACTCGGTCACTGGTCATGCTATATCCTTCATGCTGAGGACAGAGGATGTGTCCTCAGCAGTCTTATCTACAGGATTCCTCCTTTAGCAGCTAATAACATGCTGGACTGCTGAGACTCCATCTCTGCCCAGCTAAATAAGCAGGCTCTGGAACTGTACACCTTTCTATAAATAAATCCAGCAGGCATAACTGACTCTACTATATTTAATCAACGAAAACACAAGGTGAGAGAAAAGGGATTTGAAAGCACAGACAGTGAGAGTGAAAACTTGCAAATCAGATTCTGAAAAGCCTCAGAAACTCAGGAAGCAATGGCACAGAGATCATGTAGGCTGGATAATTCCAGGTCTGAGCCTGCAAGCTGCAAGGACTATCGCTGTGTTTGTTACATGTCAGCATGCCCAGCCTCTTGCAGAGCTGGGCTTTTTCTGAGCAGTGCTCTAGCTACCTCCATGTCAATCAGCCCTGCTCTGAAATAAATGCAAGGCAGCTGACATTCATGCTGCCTCATCCTGCACACTCCCAGCTGCTGCAGCCCATTCCAGCAAAGGAATTAGCCACTTTGTTCTTGGTTCCCTCCCTTTTAGACTTGAGCATGTCATACAGCCATAGAGACAAGCCTGGTTTGTCCCAAGGCTCAGCAACCATGGCCATAAAAGCTATTGTTTTTAAATGAGTCAGGTATTAAGGTTTGGCATCATTCCCACAGAATACAGAAATAAAAGCCTAAATAATTCATTGCAAAGCCATAGCGCCATTTGATCTATTTTTAACTCCAACCTACCTAATCTGAAAGGTAGAGATTAAGCTAACAACCCCTTGGCAGGTGAAAAAAATCAGATATATGTCTAGTAAACATTACAAAATCCTGGTTTCATAAACAGAAGCATCTGCATTAAAATCGTAAGCCACAGCAAGCCGTCACTATATGCAGATTATTTTACATTAATCTTGATCACAACACAGCAAGCAAACGCACAGCAGCATACCACAGCAGTATATTAAATGCATGGTGATTCTTACCCCACCAGGTAAGCCAGGATGGAGAGCTGCACGACTCGGTAGAGAATTCCAACCTTCTTGTTCTTTGCAATGACGTATTTCTCTGTTTTATAATCAAAAAGCGATAGAAATAAACCCTTCCAAGCCACCTGCCCCATTCTCCCAGCTCGCTCTTTACTCCTAGCTGGAGCAGACAGCAGCGTTTTCAGCTTGCATTAGCCACACGTGCTCTGCACTGAAACCTGATACACCAACCCCTTCAGAGCAAAGCGCCGATCTCCTCCCTCCTATGAGCTGCTCTCAGGTCGGAAACCAACAGCTGCGGTAACAAGAGATTCTTAGCTGCTTTGCAGCTAATTCATCCTCTGGGGAAACCCCTGCCTCAGTTTTGCTCATCTGCTTCATTCTTTTCCCCACAGTTGCAAAATGTTTATAACAAAAGCCACATTACAGTGCTCAAGGTCAAAGAGCTATAGTGTCTCACTGTTGAGTATTAGCACCTTTCTTCAGTTTAGATGATGGTAAACCACCTGTTTGTATTTTTAATTTCTTAGGGGTTTACATAAGCAATGAGAATTTGGGTTTTTCCAAGTCATCCAAAATACCTTCCTGGCTACATCTTCCCACTGTAAAACTAACAATTTAGGAAACTAATAAATTGTGCATGTGGTTAAGGGATCAGTCACCATTATGTCTCATGAAAATGCACAGTGAGTGCTGAACTAGGTGCATTTAGATAGAGAACATAAGATCTGATGAAATACCAAAGGGAGAAGAATAGATTTACCTCTCACTGAGGGAGGAGTTGTTTACTTGACAGTAGTGCAAAATATGACTCCTAGTCCAACAGAGACACTTCTGTGTGCAAGGGAATCAAATGATCATTACTTAAATTGAGAAGGATGGCTAGACTGTCTCCTGACTAAGGAGGGAACATAATGAACTCTGAGGAGGAAAATGAGATATGCCTGGATCTTCCAGCAACCTGGCTAAAAGCTAGCACACCTTGTCATGAGAAGATCCAGCAGCAAGCTGGAGTCTGAAGCATTTCCTCTATGTGTACACTGATGGGAGATGTCTTGGGGGGAGGGATTCTGGGGTGGGACTGCCCAAGGGACCAAATCTATTAGAGAGCACCTATCAGAGTCACAAGGCATTGTACTGGGCATAAATTACAGGGTTTACTGTCTTCAGACATGAGTACTCCATTAGTTCATCCCTGAGCACCTAACTAGCTCATGCCTGAGTGCTGTGTTGGGCATACATGGCAGGTTTGGGCAGCGGGGGCCTGTAGGGGGGACCTGGGTGGAGGAGGCCATTAACTGCCCAGTGCCTGTCACAGCCAGGTCAAGCCAGCTCCGAAACTGGTGTAACACCCCACCAGGCACCAAAGCTGCAGGTGGAGCAGCACACGGCACCTGTGTGCGGACAGATTTAAGAAAGAGCGGCAGGCAGGAGGAAGGGGACATCACTGAGGACATGGCTGGAGACATGATCTTGGAAGAGGAGCTCCATGCCAGAGGAGGCACACATCTGAGGGCCTGCAGCCCCTGGGCAGCCCATGGCCAGGCAGGGACACTGAGAAACAATGAGAAACAGAGAAAAAACAGTAAACAGCAGGGAGGAACAGCATAAAGAAACTGTTAAACCCACATCCACAACCTCCTGCATCACCTACCACCTCACTGAAGGAAGTGGAACAGACTAAGCGTAACTTGTAGCAAAAATATGGTAACTTGAGACTAAGAAGAAGGGAGAATAGGTGTTTGGCTTAATTTGAGCCTGGTGGAGGGAGAGGAAAGGTGTTACTTGTTTGTTTGATTATGTTTTCTTTTTCTCAATAACTGAATCAATGATTAGAAGTTTGTGTTAACCGACAATAAATTAAATTTTGCACAAAGTCCCTGCTGTTTTGCCCGAGACAGGAGTGCATGAAGATGGGAGCTGGGGCTATGTCAGGACCAAGAAGGCTCTTGGGCATGCACAGTAAGCAACTGTGAACACGGGTCAAGAGAGTGTTCACAGCCACTTTCTGAACATGAGGAACAATACTACATTATCAAAGGTGAAAACAGTGGAGTGAAGTGGATATTTGTTCTAGCACACATACTTGTTCCCTGTGGAATTCTCTTCCTAGAGAGAATCATTTCTCAGAATCTCTCAGGTTTTGTAAAAATTGTATTTTTCATCCTCCTTAAATTCCATATCAAATTTAAACAGATCAGTCAGATTTTTAAATAAGTATGAGAGAAAAGCTTGCTCCAAATCACAAGAGAATCACAAACAGCATAACAAAGGACGGAACATTATCCTCAAGTATACCTCCTTTTGTCTCTTATCTCACAGCCATCCTTAGGGCTTCTAATCTACAAAGTGAAAGAAACTACATAACCTTTCTCCAGCAACTACAAAACTAGAACAGAACCCTGCCTGTGACCTCCTTTTAACCCAGAGGCTCCAGTGCTCCCCCCCCACCCCCCCACCCCCGCTCCAGCCCTGCAGTGTGCAATTGTTTCAGCACCTTTAATGAGAAGGTCCCTGGGACATGTGGACAGCCAAGGGATGCCCAGCAGGGACTCAGCCTGGCTTGCGTCAGTGCAGCTGCAGCCTCTGAACTCTGTTGGCACTGCTGTCACTTGCCACAGCTTGTGCGCCCAGGCAAGAAGCCCTGCGAGTGCCCTAGGTCCCAGGAGGATGGGGCCGCCCGCTCCCAATCGCTCACCTGGCCACACTGCCATCCCACTGCTATCTCCTGGGGCTGAGACATTTGAGGGACCACCCTGGCCCCTCTGGCTTGGGGCTAGTCCCAACCTAGCTCCCAAACTCTGCTGCCACCCTTCAGGCTCAGAGCAGGCAAAGGGCTGATCTTCCTTACCTCTCTCATCCCTCTTGATCCTCCTTTCTCCATCTGCACACCTCACACCAGCAGCCTCTGTTTATCCCACACTGCCAATCTCACAAAACATTTGCTGCTCTCAAGCCCCTCCCAGAGCCCTCTTTCTCACTCAAGCAACTGTAACAACCAAGACTCTCAGTTGCCCCCTTCCTCAAACTGTATTTGCCTTTTGAATCCACGCCTCCTTACCAGATGCCTACACACCAGACCACCACTAGTGACCATCTTAAGCTCCTCTGTTTGAAAGCCTGAAGCACAAATAGAAACTTTTACCATGTTTAATAAATAGAAGAAATAAAACCCTCCATGACAGCACACTTCTGTGCAGATGAAGGAGACCATGCTGGCCAATCAGGCCTGAAATGAATAAGAAACAAAGGCAGGCCCAGCCTGTCTTCCTCAGCCACCGCCCAGACCCCAGAGGCAAGCAGTGCAGTGCTGGGGCTGGGTGCAGGGAGATCTGCCCAACTCCAGGGCTCCAGAGCTATGCTGAGACAGGAGCATCCTAAAGGAGCCACCAGACCTTCCCCCACTCAACCTGCTCCTAGGAGAGATATTTTTGCAAGTACAAGCTGCTGGGTGATAGCCAAATGTTATCTATGATCATGAGCCTGGTCTCACAAGACCACCATCTGCTCCCCTGGCACTGCTGGAATTGCTCAAGGAACTACTCTAAATCTCAAGTCTATCCCATGTCTCAAGCTGCCCTGTTTGCTCAGAACTGCTTCCACTGTTGCTTCTGCTGCACTGAAAACATCCAAGCTCATGGAGGATCAAAACATTAGTGGAGACAAGTCAGTCCTTGGTGAACTGACTTCTCCCATCCGTATTTTTCCTGGAGCCACCTTCTTATCTGTCTGGATGACTGCACAGGCTGAAACCAGACCAGGAAACTTGCTAACAGTTAAGTCGTGTGTTGCTCCCTGGCCTGGTTTGGCTTAGTGGCACAGACCCAGGTCTGCTATGAGTTTTTGCAGTTATTTTCCAGGTCAATTAATGTGATGAACGACTGACACAGGTTAGAAAAAAAAAGCATTCCTTAGCGTGGGAAGTGTTCCTGTTACAGGTTTGACCTGCAGATGTCAACGATGTTTGATTGTTAATAAAAAAAGAAGATGTAGAACTGATACCTTTCCTGGTTTTTAAACTCACCAAGTAAAAGCACAGTTGCAATAGCGGTTTTTAAATAACAAGTTCTGGTTTCTATCAAACGTACCCTAGAATATCCTGAACGTTGCCCAACATGTGCAAGATTCATGCCGACAACAGTGTTGTTGGCATGTTCTGGGAGGCATTGTTCTTATCACCTTCTAGTTTTCACAACCTTACTTTTTATTGCCTGGAAAGCCAGATTACCGGTGGGTTTCTCAACATGCCCATGGGTTGTTCAAATATAAGCAATTTCATTCATGTGGGTATGGGGTGAGGCGAGTAAATAGCCTAAAAAAATGTAATCATCAGTTAAAGACACAAAAAAAATTAAGTTTTATTTAGTCCTTCCCAAAGGACTGAGAGGTTGGATCTCTTCTGCAAGATATCTCCCTTCCTAAGAACCAGCATTTTGACTTTCCCATGGAAAAAACAGTTCTGTTCCTTTCCCATGAAGGCTGTTACTCAGCCTGGAAATTCTCACAGAGAGGATTTCTCCTTCAATACTGAAGCTCCCTCTATCTTTTTTTCATTCCTGACGGATTACACCTACATGAAACTCCTCATACTGCTCACTAATTACTTTCTCAGTATTCATGTGCAGCCATAGGATATGCAGCCCTTGTCTGCCCAGGCTGCTACTCATTTACATTTCTCTCCCTCTGTCAGTAGCTCTTCAGTATTAAGCTGCCTCAGACTTGAATTCAGTCCAGTCATGATCCAGTAGAGGCCAATACAGGAACTGTGGAAATGAAACTTTAGATCCCTGCTCTCACAGTGACATTCCAAACACAGCCAATCACATCTGGCTCTTTACAGCATTTTAGGACAGAAATATTTCATGTTCATCCCAACAGTATCGTATAATGTTATCTTTAAGTCATACTCAAAAGAGACCACACATTTTCCAAATTGATGGCAGACAACCCTGGTTAGGACAGACAAGCTCCAAGAGCGACTGCTGGAGGTGCCCGTTTTTAAGGCACTTGACTTGTTCGTTGCCAGTTCCAAATGATCATCCTCCAGGCGTTAATTCTCTCGGTGATCCCCACTCAGCCCTCCACTGTGTGATCAAGTGCAACAAAAACACTGTCTCTCAAAGACATGAGAGCTGATGTAGAAAATACTGAGACATTTAAGGACTGGAAGTTCTCCTGCAGCAAATGCCTGAACGATGCAGACACATCATCCTTTACGGGTAGGCGCCAGACCAGCTACTGAAATAGAAAGGAGGCAAGGAGCAGAGGATGTAAGTAGGAGAGAAAACTATTCTGGCAAGGAAATGACCAGTGCAAAAGGCCAGCGTTCAGCTCTCCATTACTTTTTTTCCTTTCTCATAGCATCATACTTTTAGGTCAGCATCTAATGAAAAAACAAGCCGATGAATTGAACAGATTGAAGAGAAGAAGTTGCTCTTAGACCACAGCATATGCACACTGAAACACACAGGCAACATCAAGCACACGCTGCTTTCTGATAACGATGGGTTTAGTTGCAAGAATAAAGAAATATGTGTGCAACCTGCAGGGAAAAAAAATCCATTCAACTTCTCTCTTAATCCTCGTTATGACTTTGCAGTGTAAATAAGACGTACGTTGCTACTTGCCAGTGAAAAATTTACAGAAATGAGCTTCAATATTTGTCCTCCTGGCTCACATGCCCTCCAATTCTTCCTTGTTTGGAAGAAAAAAAAAAAAAACAACTTTCTTTCAAGAGCCATTGGAAAAACATTCAGACCTTTTTTTGCCTTAGGAAGAATTCCTTATTTCCCAGAGAGAGTTAAACAAAAGATGAAATCAGCCAAACCAGGAATGTGAGGATTTATGCTGCCATCCTTAATCCCAGTGGCTCCTAGAAAGGGAATCGATGGAAATAATCTTTCTTTTGTTACCCACAGAGGCATCCAAACTTGTGTGTAGGAGTGAGAAATGGAAGGGTGCCCAAGTTCCTGAATATATTTTCTCTTTGGTTCAGCTCATCATTTCCAGAAGAGCAGTTTTCAGGCATACCTTTCTGCATAGCTCCCCTGCTGTCTCCCAGCAGAAATGCTTATTTATTACTGCATGTTCTCTAAGAACATGACTCGGTTCAACAGCTCTCAGCTTTCACCGTGGCTCTATCCTTTGAATTTACTCCAGCTTGCTACCCCAGGTCTTGAATCTCCTATACAGCGTGCAGGACATTCAGTAAGGTCTTGTCATCCCTAGTTGGAGCTTTACCCGCTCCTCTCCCCCAGCTCAAGAAGTGAAAGTGCTTCAAGAAGAGTACTAAAAGAGAGGGCGGAAAAATACAGCACATCTAATGAAATTGATCCATCATGCCCTGTTCTGTGAGAGAGCTGGCACTAAGTCAGGTGAGAGAAGTAGAATACAAATGCACATAAAAACATCATTGGGAAATTGAGCGCAGTAAGAGATGGAACAACAGCTTTACGCAGTGCTGTATTGCAATGTTTTCACCTTCTAAAGCCAGCCAATAAAAGCATCAATAGGGAATAAGAGGGAAATATTAAATCAAAGGCCTGAAAGCCAAACATTTTTAATAAAATGTTCACATTAACTAATGACTTAAAAGGCAAAAACCCACTCCTGAATGTGCTTGACAGATCATCTCCATTAGTACATTAATGCTTCCTTGCCAATATGCATCACTCCTGACCTGGAGGAACACAAAACCGATGTAGGCTTGATAGCTCCACCAGTGGCTGCCTGCCTTACTACTAGTGCTGAGGAGAGATACCTTCATCCCCTTCCCCCAATGACAAATTTCACCATGTAGACATCTACAAACTGCAGACTGAGGTTTCTGCCCTTTCCTCCCTGAAAGTACCGAGTCGTAACTCTTCTGGTCATCAGAAAACCTACATGGGACTTACACCTGACGCACAAACGGAAAGGTTTCATTAGCAACACCCTTAACCAACCAACCCTACCTTAGCTCTGGAGGCCAGTGGTGCCCTAAGTCAGTCACATGTTACCACATGCAAGAGGTTTGCGTCCCAAACACGCCCAGAGAACAGAGCCATGCTGCAGAGCGTGGTGGAGTATGGAGATACTGGAGCCATTTTAGACAAGTTGGCAGCATTATGAGCAACCTGCTTGCAGCACCACAGATCATTCCAGCTCGTTCACCCTGTTATAATAGAGAGACAGGAAATTTCTTTTGAGCTGTGATCTCATTAGCCTGCAAATAAAGCTGCCCCAATAGGCTCTCCAGGCTGGCAAAGCACTTCATTGTTCTTATCTAATGCTCTAGCTCTAATATCAGCACTTAACAAAGAACTACTTTTCCTGATAAGCTTTCCTGTGGATCCAGAGATCCACTTTACTTACTTCTACGAACCATCAGGACACCTGCACTCCCACAGTCCAATACATGAACCAGTCAGCTTCTGAATACGCTGAAGGAAGTACAGCCCAAGGCTTGTGAATCTTCCTGGCATATAGGAAAGACATAAGCAGCTGTTATCACTCCTGATTAAAATAGCATCGCAAAACAAATCCTGTCCTCCCCTTCAAGGATACAATTAATAACCTGTCTCAGCTATATCAATTCTCATCAGTCACCACCCACCTTCAAACCTCTCGCCCCTTAGCCAAACCCCAGCAAAAAAAAAAAACAGCCAAAAGCCTGGCCAAGCTTGCCTAGCAGAAGCTAATATCCAAACCTGGAATGATCCAGAGCCAGGCACGAACTCAGATTTAAAATGGCTGGAGTGATGGAATGGGATGAGCAATAGGATAGCACCCATCGACAGGCAGAGAAAAAACCCTCTGTTCTTGCTCTCCCAGGCTCACCAACAGCATTGAGAGTTATCTTTTCTTGACACCTGGATCGTGAACAGGCTGCTAATGCTTCACCCTGGCTGGAGTCAGGAGTTTAATGATTCTGAGTAAGTCATTTGTAAATCTCATGTCATTCAGGAAGGTGGCAAAACTGCCACTGCCAGAAGGCAGTGAAGTCAGGGCTATAGAGCAAGGCCACAAATGTTGACAAGGCTTTTGTACAGAGGATTTTATTTGAAATACATATTGTAAATAAATTTAGAAGCAGAAGCAAGGCTTCCATGGAAACTGCATAAAAACCCAGCAGTGGTTTCAATCATTGCAAAATCTTGGCAGTCTTGACTAATCCCTTAAGTGCCATCCAATTACTGCAAATGTGTTTGGCATCCACTATAGCAATTGTGAAGAATTAAATGGTCAGATGGCACTCATCGGAAATTACAAGTCACAGAATCCTATAATGCATTTAAGAAAAAACATCTAAAAAGGAAAATAGCATGGTCCACTGCAAGACCTGACCTCCTTGAGAGCCATAAGGGACATCAAAAGGGATGCAAGCAATCAAGGATATTTAATTCAGAGAAGAAACTAGAAAAGATGAGAGAAAGAGGGAGTATAACAAGATTGACTGAAGGAGATGGGCTTATTTAGCCTTGAGAAAACTCTCCTTGCAACTCATTATTCTTAGCGCAGACTTCTACAAATAACATCCCTTCGCTTAGAGAAGTAACCAAAAAACTGCCACAGCTTTTCTGTGCCCAGACTTACCAAGTACTATCTGACTGTAGGGATCTCCTGATGCTTCAGGACAGCTGGGACTTCAGTGTGAAATAGAGATGGTCTGGGAGGGATGACGGGCTGAGTGACTGCTAGGGAGATGGACAGTAAAGAGTACAACTGCTGGTATATTGCTGTCCTTTCACAACAGCACAGCTGTCCACACCAAACGTCACCCGGTACAAGATTGGCCTAGAGCTGTGGAGAAAGCACACGACACATTTCCCTCTCCAAAGAACAGCCAACATAGCCCACAACTTAAAAACATTTAAATAAGGAACATTTGAAAAAGGAGGTGGCTTTCTTATAATGCCACCACCTCAGTCACCACTGCATAGCTTCTCTGGGGATCTTTTCTGCCTGAAGCTCTTCAAAGTGATTCTCTCTCAACCCAGTGTATTCTGCTTTTCATATACTTAATGCATCACCAAAATCCATCCACTAAAGGGACATACAGAGAGGAACAACTTTGCAACAATTCTGCTGAAACCCAGACTGAGAGATGGACAGTAGTTCCAGAGAGCTGTTATGCTACCTGGGAAACGGTACAACAAACTGCTTAAACTGCCCTCAGCCAGCAAGCGTTATACACAGGCAGAGTTCTTACAAGAATTTATTCTCAAAAAAGCTGCAATTAAAAAACACTATAAAAATCAAGAGGATTTACACAAAGAGGAACAATAAATCCTTTCACGCTAGTCAAGACACATTCTGTCCAAGTGGTACAGAGCTCTTACAACAAAAAAACCTTGACTTAGGTGGTTCTTTGGTTCAGGCAAGATTTTCCTTTCTGAACCTTCATCTAGGAAGTCTCATTTCCTCAATCCTTGACACCTGGGAGCAGGTTTGGAGCAACTCATCTACATGCAGCTCCAAAAGCTCTATAAACTGATTGGGGAGAGAGACCTATAGAAATTCAAGTTGGAAGAATGGCTACAGCTGCTAACTGATCTAGGTGACAGTGCAAGATCTCAGCACCTCTCCCGTACTGCTGAAAGTCACATAAAGGTCCTGTATTAGTTTGATAATACCTTGCTCTCGTTGCTCTTACTTTTGCCCTAAGCAGGTAGGCCAGTGTGCTCAGCAACTTCTGCCTGTTTTGCAGCCAAATTTAAAGCTAGGACATACCCCCAGTTGTACCACCTTCAGAATGTCCATCCCATCATGAAGGTGATCTCTGTTACAGCATTAAAGACAGGTATTAATAGCTCTGCCCAGGTACTAGACAGGAATTTTACAAGGAAACTTTAATGCAGGCCACAGTATATTTGTTAACTTTAGTTAACGACAGGCAATATTGGTTAAGCCAAGGGAGACGTGGAACTATTTTGCTTTCTGTAGGTTTGAATGAAAGTCTACGTTTGTTCTACTGCTGTGTGTAAAAACATATTAGATTTGTGAGGTTTATGGTTAGCCAAATACGACAGAAATAACTACTCAATTAAGGAGAGAGAAAGCCAAAGAGAGGAATATTACACAGTGAATGTACTTGTTCTTCTTTACAAACAGGGAGCGTGGGGGAGGAGTCATTCTGAGATCATTTCATTGCTCAGGAAAGAAAATACCTAGTACTGGCTAAAGCCAGTCACAAGGTGCTGCCAGGCACCTTCCTTCCTGCAAGCTGCAATTACTAATAATCTGCAGCTGGCAACCTAGAATTGCTCATGATTCACCCTACTTTCTGTTTCACCACCATCAGGATGAGTAGCAACATGACTGTGATTGACATTGCAGCTTACCACTCAGTTCTGCTCTTAATTCAAACATGGCTACTTTTCCTGGGCTTCTTTGAAACAGGTGTTGCTAACCCATCCCAGCTTGGGGAACTATTTAACGATACAAGAGAAGTCTATCAGAACTGGTAATGAGATCCATAAAACATATTTTTATTTGTAACGAAATCAGGATTTGAAAACAATTCAAAATGGAAAAGCAGAAGTGAGATCATGAGGTTAAAAAAAAAAAACAAAACTCATCACCACATGCACTTGTGGTTCCAAGGATTAGATACATCAAAAAAAAAAGTTCTGCTGCATTAAAATACACAAATCTTTATATATATGTATCTATAGATACATACATACACAGAACATTTGGCTCTCCATGTTCATTAGCAATAGCAGAACAGAAAGCCTCCTCTATCCATTTCTATTTCAATCTATTCTGAAGCTATTCAGTATTAAAATCAATTTAAGAACCACTCAGCATCACAACAACTAAGAATGCAATCCAATGCATAAACCTCACAGGCTCCAGGCTGAATTTTCCCTAGCATATCTACAGTAAGGCAAAATCTAGCTAGACTCTGGGGAATCTAGCTTATCAGTACCAGGCAGCCCCTTTTTAACAAGCAGCCAATTCAAGTTGAACAAGCAGGTAACTGGATTGCCCAAAAGCGCAGGGCCCCCACAATCAAAGCAGTGAATTGCAAAAGTCCTAAGATCCGGAGTCTCACAGATCTATCCCAGCTCAGGGAATATGATTCGTTTTGCATCTCAGCCAGACTTTGACTCTGGTATTTCCAAAGACCGGGTGATGGAACACAGAGCTTTCTGCTTTGGCCAGCCTAGTCTTCAGGAGTTGTCTTCTTGCTCCATCATATTTTTATAGTTTCTTTTGAAAAAGCCACACTAGAAGAAAATTATTAAAAGAACTTATTAAATCTTCACACGTGCATTAATTTTTGCTTTTTCTTAATTTTTAAAATGAAAATTCCAAGTTCTTCCCTCTCAAAGTTGCTATAAGTGAATGAGTGAATGCAGAATGCAGCCTGCATATGATTTCTGACAAAGCTGTAAGCCTTTGCCATTTTTCAAAACACTTCAGAATGTCTACTAACGCTTCATAACGTTCGAACATTCTGCTGAACACTCTGAAACAGGATGCCAACACACCTAGGCATGCAGAGATGGAGTTTCTTTTCTGGTACTACTGAAATGCCTCCATTTGCATTATAAAATATAGCAGCTAATTAATAGCTTAAGACGAGAAGTGAAAAGGAACAGTTTTCTCATTTAAATAGCATGAGAAATTAAGAGGTTATACGGCAATGCTCAGAATAGGAATTTGTTCAACTCTAAGACACTGAAGCATCTAAGACAAAGGTCTTAAAATAGTATGTAGCAGAAGTCCTTCCATATGTTTAAAGAAATCTCTTTCATAATTAGAAAAATCTTGAAACCATTAATACCTTTAATAAAAACACCTCTATTTTGTTGTGTTTTAACAGTACTCACTTTCCAGAGGAGCAGAATAATGAAAGCCAACAAGAGAAGTCCACCAACAGAACTTCCTATGATAACTGGCAAGGGATCGAATGCTTCCTCTTTCAGCAAGATGAGAGTAATCTAGATCAGAATGAAGACCAATTTAGCATATACTGAAGCCCAGTTGTTTTTCTTGGCTAGTTTTTAACTGAGAAAGCGATATAGTTTGATCTAATGTTCAGCCTTTGAACTCCATGCTAGATGCACCATTAACCTGCCGGTGCAGGTGCTTTGCAATACAACTGGAGATTTTTTTTCTTATACCAAGACTAGTCAAGGAGGTTAAATTCACTAAGTCTTCTTTATGAGTTTACAGTGATTACAATAATCCCGAGTAAAAATCCATCAGAATAAAAGGTACGTCTTTACTAGGGGAAAGAGAGGCAATTTCCCTGGTGAAATCCCAGAAAGGACAGGAGCTCTCTGTTACCCACAAGTGTCAGATGATATCCAGAATTCAATACAAACCCTCAATGTTTTCCTAGTATACACTAGCAAGTACCTTCCCTTTGTTTTCATCCTATGGTCCAAAACATGATTCCACTATATTCAATAGTAGAACTATTGTTTGCTCCAGAAGGTCTAGAATTTAACTCTGGAATTTGATCAGTTCTCTGTGTTCAGGAAAATCATCTGGATCTCACTTGTCCTGCCTTAAGGAAAGGACCAAGCCGCCTACACAGCGCTCAGATACCTCAGCGTTATGATTCTCCTCTTTCAGGCCCAGATACAGTTGTCTGTCGAAGGTGATTTTCGCAGCGACCAGCAAATCGGTTCTAGGTTTTAAGAACTATGGAGTAAGAACAAAAAGAAGACCTCAGTCACCTTTCAGCATCTTCAAAAAAAAAAAAAAAAAAGTGAGGCGATAGTGACCAACAGTGTCGTTACCCAGAGTGTAAGAACTACCCCCCTGCACAGCACTGCCACCAAGCTGCTTCTCGTATATATACCCTCACACGTGACGGTATCGCGAGGGAGAAAGCGTCTAGAAAGACCAAGGCTCGCGTTGCCACGCGAGTCGCTCGGCCAGTACCCGCTTCTGCGGGAAGC